GGGTATTTAATTTATCAATTTTGATTAGATCAAAATAATATTTCACGTCGTTAGGCATCGTGGTTGGGAACCTAATGGGCCGCACACAAAAGAGAATTGAAAGATTGCAAATTGCCAATTGATTAATTTAACAATCGTTGGATGAATTAATTAATTTGATTTGTTATTTATATTTCTGAATTAATTAATTAGATTAATTAATTCATGGATCGGGTTTAGTTAAATGGATCAATTAAACATTGGACCGAACCGGGCCGAGCCCATTTGGGTTTATATAAATACATGACTAGGGTTTGAGGTCCATAAGGTTTTCATTATTCTTGTTGGCACAAGAGAAAAAACCCTAGCAGTCTATTCTCTGTGTGGATTTCATTGGAGGCTGGACAATTGGGCAGCTGTGGGAGGCAGATTCAAGCTATTGGAAGGGAATAACGCAAAGGAGTTTGCAAAATCAAGAAAAGATATATTTCTTATCACAATTCTTATCTAAATATAAAGTTGAATCCTGAATGAGAATTAAAATTTGTTTAATTTCGCCGTGCATGTTTAAGTAAATTCCTGAGACGACGGTGCAATGGAAACGGTCTGCAATATGGGCATCTTTATGGGCAAGCAAGGATTGGAGTTCCCTGTTTCATACTAATCTTGATTTGAAACTTCTTTCTGATTGAAATTATGTGATTGAATTCTCGCAGAGACTTCATGTTGGATGTGGACAGGAGAAAGACAATCAACAAAGATGAGGATTAAGTACTTTGAAGCAACTTTGAACTAAGATATTCAATACTTCGATACTGAGGTTCGGACATCTGATGTAGTTTTTGCCATTAACATTGATGCAGTGATGGTCCAAGATGCCATTAGTGAGAAGCTGAAGAAAAAACCCAGTTGGGTTTTGCTTTTTGGTGTTTATTATTGTAAAAATTTGTGTTCTGATTAGACCTTTTTGTGAAATTTTTGATGGGTTCATTGCAGTATGGCAATTGGCATTCGTAATCTTGCTATGGTTCCTCTCATAGCTATTATTGGGGGCATTCACACCACCACGTTAGCCAAGCTTTCTGTTTAGCTGTTGATCTCTTCGGACCTTTTTCTAGCTTGATGGATTGGTACAGCGCTGCATTTTCAGACCTTCCTTTCGTGGATTCTTGAGTGCCGTCTTCCCCCTTAGCACCCAAAGCTTATCCGCCAAGTTTTTAATGGTGTTACGGTGACTGATTTAATGTTGGTGGTGAAATGAGCTGGGGCCTTAGGAGGAAGATGATGGGGCAGGGGGTGGGAATTGAAGAAGGAGATGAGGAAGGGAAGAAAATATTTTAAGATAATAATACCCTTTCATTTTGGGGAAAAAAAAAATCCTCACCAAAACACTTTGGGTCCGTTTGATTACAAAAGGTGAAATTTTGGTGAAAAGAAAATGAATTATAAGAAATTGAATTATCTAGAAATTATTTTTCTCGGAATTGTCAATTCATAGTGTTTGATTAATATAATTTTCTACGTGAAAAATGTTGAAATAAAAAGTGTTTTTAGTGTTCATTTGGTTTTGTCTTACATGAAAATTGTCAATTTAAGAGATATTCACTTCTACTATTGTTCTTAGAATTTGTTTTCATTGCCAACAAAAAAAAAAAGAAAAAAAATCATAAAATCATCTATATTTTGGTATTCATTTGACTTTGTTTTACATGAAAATTGTCAATTAAATGGAAATATTTTTTTATAATTAAGGATAAAATTTATTTCTATTGCAAACAAAAAAAAATGAAAAAAAATAAAAAAATCCGCTACATTAACATGGAAAAATGGTGGAAAATGCCTACGTGGCCAAGGTCAATGGAAAATTTATCTTGTCAAAAACACCACAAATGTTGGAAAATGGAATTGATTTTTCATTTTCCATGAAAATTCTTGGACAATCAAATATGCCCTTAACGAAGAAGCTGGATAGAAATGGATGGAAGGTCATTTTGCACAATAATATGCGTAAATAAGGGTGCAAATTTCAATAAATGGAATGTTTGGATGTTTTGCACAATAGCGGCCAAAGAGAAGGACGTTATATGCTAATTACCCTTTTCTAATTATTTTGTTCCAAATTTTCTTGTCACCTCCGCACGGTTTCAACAAATATTTGTTTCTTGTGAAATGACCGTACAAAGTGTCTTTTGAAAAAAATAATAATAATAATAATAATAATCATTTTAAATGAAATTATCCAATATATCCCCATCGTCATGATTTTTGCATAAAATCTAACAATTACTTGGAAAGCATAAAACTTCTGAAGCAAATTTTAGAAGCTACAAAGGAAAATTTAATCTTTTGCCGGTCTATTGGTATGATATAAGTGATTTTTTCATAAATGACAAAATAAGAAGGAATGAATTTTTTTTATATTTTTTCTCGTGTACCATTTATCATGTGAATTGTTTCGTTTATTTTACCTAGTGGAAGTTAATTCATTCACAGATAGAATATAGATTTGTGAGTTCGTGTATGAGTTTGATATGAGGTTGAATTCATGAATAGTTTTGATATGAGATTGAATTTATGAATTATTTTTGTTAAAGTGGAAAAACTCTTGTATGATTTTGATATACTGAGTAAAGTTCTTGTACCATTTGTATGATCATATTGTCAAGTAATTGTCACATCATTGTCACTAGGTACTACATTTACAACGTGAACTGTTAATCAAAATCTACATTTGTGTGATTCGAGATCCTTGTTTACGATGGTTAAGTTTCTTCACTCAAATACATATGTCTCGATGATTATTTGCAAAAATAGGATCTAGTTAGTTAATGAGTGTGACAGTCCCCTATGCCCATAACGAGATGATCATATACACTTTAATGGTTAAAAATAGAACCATGCAGAAACAAGAAGTGAAAAAACCAAAATGTTTGGAGTGCTAGTTATGGCTTACTTTGGAGTGGAATAACCTTGACTCGTGTAGGGAAAATGCAATGAAGAGAGTATATGATATGTCACGTTAAATAGCGATAGATAAAAACCATAACAAAAAGTCAACAATAAAATTTTGCCCAATGGAAGTTAATTTGTACATATAAAGAATAAATTTTTGTGAGTTCATAAATGATTCTGATAAAAAACTGAGTTCGCGTGTAATTTTGATACATGGGATAATCGTTCACAAGTATAACCCAACTTCAGCAACATATACTTTTCTTCTACATTAATGGTGGAGAGTGTTAATACTTGCTTACCAGTTTATCTACACTTCTGCATCAACTGTTAAAGTTCTATAACTTTAACTCTTATTTTTTTGGCGGATTTGATCCTTGAAAAATTTATAGAATTCGTGAGCTTCTTATCTATTAGAGAGTCTTCAAATTGAGATTATTATCTCCCAAATACCTTAATTCCAATACTTCTCACTGTTTTTCCTTGTCTTCTTCTCTCTGCAATTCAATAATAGTCACTTTTTTGTAGGCTAAGCCTCATTGAGGGGGAAAAAAAAATGATGTTTTGAATAGTAATTTTTGAAGAATGCGTGGTTAAAAAGTAGGAAAAGTTTTGGAATTAGGTGTAAAATATTTTATCGTAAGAATGTATAATTGAAAATGAGTATGCGAATTAAAGAATTTTATTTTAAAGGGAGACAAGAATGAGCTAAATAGACTTTCACCATAGTTTTCTAATAACTAGACTACATTTCTGATTGCATGAAATGTTTATAATCTTTACATATTATTATATTTATGTCTCAAATATTTTTCGTCACATTCTTATTCTCAAATTAACATAAATTATTTATGATTATGATTTCTCTCCAATTTATTATTATTTAAATAGAATAAAGGCATACATTGTACTTTTAAATAAGCAAAACAAATAATAATATAAAAATACAAATTAAAAGTTTTACCCTCATTAAAGCACGCAAATAATGTTTTTGGACAAAAATTATGATAAAGGACAAGATTTTTAGATAAATGCAATGTTAAAAATAAGGATGTGTTTGAAAAAAATGACAAGGATATACATGTAATGATGAACAAAATTTAATGATTTAATGTAATTAAAAATATAGTTTATTTAGGCATCTCCAATGTGGGGTCAAATTCGGTGCTAGTTAGGTTTAAATTAAAATCTTATTTTAATTTAAGTTAGAGTCAAACAATCAATATTAACAATATTTTTCACGAGCCACAACTTTTCAACCACACATTTTAAGAACTTATATCATAATATACTAAAAAATCTAATTTTAATCCCATCAAATATCCTCGTGGTGTAAAACCCTCTTCAATGAGACGCAAAATATAGTGCAAAATTTTGAAAAAATTCAATAACCTCATTTTGTTCTTATTTTCACTTCACAACAAAATGTTTATTCCATCTATATCCCTCTTCCATATTTTATAATTAGTAGATTTTAATTGATTTATAATTTTTTTAATGTGATGGTTACATTTTATTTAATATCATTTTTAAATTTTAATCAATTAATAGGTAATCATTATTTCAATAATAAATTAATTAATTAAAAATTTTCATTAAAAAGTCAATAATTACAATTTTGATAATTAATAAATTAGCACTACAATAACATAAATATATTAAAAACATAAAATAAAGTACAATACAACATTAAACCAAAAAAAAAAAGTGCAAATCGAATGATCAGTTTCATTATGTGTAATTTTTCTTGTGCGTTCAACGTATTTTTTTAATTGCGGTGTTATGTTTAATATATATATTTTTTCAATTTATTAATTTTCAATATTTCAGTTACATACAATCTTTAATTTAACGATTTTTGTTGTTAAACTATCTCCAACAATCTATTTGGTGTAACCATTGGAAAGTTTACAACAAATTCGATGTTCCTCATTGAAATTGATCTTATAAAAAATTCCGTACAAATATAACCAACCTTTTTTTAATCCCGTAAATGGGCAGCACAATTAAATAATACCCAAAAAGTCCTTCTGGCGGGATTATTTACCAAATTACCCGCTTTCAGACTTCCCGCGTCTACATATATCCGCCATTTTAGGGCTTAAACAAAAAGAGGCGACAATATGTTGAAAGGACGCGAAAGCCTGATCAGATTGATCGGCAAACGACGACGTTTTCTACCCCACCGGCACTTCTTCCTCTCAGTCTCCGCTCCGACTCCACAGGTATTATTTATTTATTATAGTGTTTTTAATTATGAGAAATGATCTAAATTCGTCACGTAGTATACTAATTTTTTTTCCCGTATTTTTCTGGAAATGTTAGAATTTTTCGAATCAATGTAAGGAAAATGAAAGCGAGATGAAATATTCAGTGGAGAAATCTCAGGACAGTGACTCGGTGGAATCGGTGAATTGTCCTGTTTGTGGAGCACAGCTTCCTGGACAAGATAACAGCTTAATTAATTCTCATTTGGGTTGCGCACATTTACTGTTTCTTACTTTTTAAGTAGAAAAAATTTAAATATTTCATCTTTAAAATTTACTTATTTACTTGTAGGCAAACTTATCAAGCTTAGCTACATGCTCTCATTCTCAGCTTCCAAAATTTAGCTTGTAACTGCATTTATTTCATAGGTTTATAGCATTTTATTTTACGTAACTTAATTTTTTCGGCTATGGGAATTTCCATTTAGAAAGGATACTGCAATTGTAGTTTATTAGCTGTACACGATTTTTGAGCAGCAAGTAAAAATTCACAATGTGTCAGTCTGTAAATTACTTTGACTACGTCAAGTCTTTCCATGAATTACATCAGTATTTTTTTCTTTCCTTTTTCTTCATTATAAGCAATGTTTAATGCGGCTTTTTTTAGCTAAAACAAATATGCCTTTGATTAGGTATTTATACATTGCGCATGGCCCCTACTTATTTTGAGGACCTGTTGCTAAATTTTAGCCGTATTTTGATTAAAGCTTTTATTAATGGCATTAAGAGGTCGTAAGACATTTTGAATTTCTGAAAAATCCTGAAGAAAGCCAATGAATCTAGACAAACTGAGTCTTCATTGCTCGTTTTACCCAGCTAAGGTATATTCGAGTATAGCATTGGACAATAAAAAAAATAAAATTGAAATGCTCTCTCTACTCTTGGATTCTCTACCTATATCCTTTTCTTTTGTTTTTTAACTTGTATATCATATGTCTCTTGGAATTTTCTGTTTTCCTTTCCTTTTTTTTTTGGTGGATTTCTCCTAGTGAAACGTGAAAGTTGGAGAAGTTAAATTAGGGCTATCTTTTATGCTATGCTTTCTGTTAATCTCCTGTTTCTTGTTAAGATGGTCACTATTTCATCGATGATTTCAGATGAGTGCCTATCTAGAGGAAAGAAACGTAAATTGAGTCAGCGCACATTTATGCAGTTAGACTTCTTGAGACCCAAAGTTAAATTTCATTCTATTCAACCAGATGACAATGGAAATCAAGATATTCTAACTGATCCTAGCAAGAGGTGTTGCGACACAATTCGTCACTTGAATGCTTCACATGATTTTGAAGAGGATGATAATTATCAAAACAATGCTTCTATAGATTCTGTCACTTTGCAAAGTGATCAATTAGCAAGTTGTATGGACAGCCCTCTCATTGATGACTCAACTAACTATAAATGTGTTTCACTGTCGCTGTCTTTGGAGAATGAGATGCCTAACTATGTTATGGAGAAACCTGTTGAGGACTGTGACATATCTAAGGTGTTTCTTCATACATTCATCGTTGGTCGTAAGTTTAGTAGTGTAGAGGAGTTAGATCCTGGGTCAACAATACGTCTCTCCAGAGAACCTGAGAATGTTAAGGATCCAAATGCTGTCAAGGTTCAGTTTTATTATTTGATCTTATGCTTACTTAGACATCCACTTTCTTTGTTATTTAAGTGAGTGTTGTACCTTTTGAGCAGGTCCTTTATACTGATTCTGCATATGATACTGCTCTGGGTTATTTACCACGGGAGTTAGCTCAATATCTTTCTCCTTTGATGGAAATGTTCAACTTGAGCTTTGAGGTAATGGAGCTCGCTTAGTAAAATGCACATTTTGCATTTCGATTAATATTCCTGATTATCACATACTTCAGTTTTAAATATTGACCATCTTCTTTAATTAGTATGTCTCCAGTTTCTGAGCATGATAAGGTAACATGAATATGAGCAAACTGCTTTCCGTTACTGATACCAGTGAACTTTAAAATTATCTCCTTATCTTGCTGCTATTATTTGAAATAGAAATTCTTTGTATTTTTACAGAAGTTTCTCTGTATCGATTCTTATTCATTTCCTTCCCAAAATAGTTAATGATTACAAGAAAGATGTTAGCACATGTTGCTTACCGTGTGCATAATGCTGCTAACTTCTTGCACAAAATAATGTAGTAATCTAAAGAAGGTAAAAGAAAAATAATGATTTGCAATGAATTTGGATTTTAATAATTTTGATGTCTTTTATAAAATTTGAAGAAATGAAACAGTCTGGTAACTGCCAATATTGGACTGGTAACAGTTAACATATCATGTTCGAATAAAGTACTGTGCTGGAAGCAGATCGTCTGCCTTTGGCACCTGTACTGGCTTTGTTTAATTGGAAGCTCACATTCTTCATCATGAATGTCATTTATGAGCTCAAAAAGTCAATGTTCACCAAGGAAATGTATAATTTCTGATTTTTCAATAGCAAAAGATATTATTTTGAAATTTTAGAAAAAACTTCAATGCCCTGCCTCTAAGCCAATTCCTACCAATCTTTTCATTTCTTTTCCCTCTGTCTCTGTTCTGGTAATACTGTCAACTTAGAGGCACTGCCACATATGATTTATGATTGCACATTCTGATTGTCAAGTTCTCCCAGTATTTTCTTTATAATGTCTCTTGTTTGTTTGTAGTCACGTGATTTATTTCTTATGTTTGTTTTCCAGGGCAACATAACTTCTATACCTAAAGACTCTCGTGCCATTATCCCAATTCAGATTGAATGTAAAGATGAGCTATCGTGTGATGAAAAATATTGCAAAAATATTCAAGTTTTTAATTCCTTGTGGGGACATGCTCTGCGCGTAGTTGAGCTTGCAAAGACTAGTCCTTTGGGGATGACCAGGTATCAGCATAACCTTGTACTGTTAATACAAGATGTTTTAAAGAGGAATTCTCATCTTTTTACCACTGGCGAGAAATCTTTCCTAGGTACCATATTACTCACTTGTTGCGTTGCCATTGTAAATTAATATGTATCTATCTGGTTTTAAATTTGTAATGAGGTTTGTGCATTCTCTGTCGGGCAGAAGCATTTGTCTCCCTTTCGGATGATAGTCAGAGACTCTTTGCACGTCTTTATACACGAAAAGGTCTTTTACTGAACACACCTCTCAATCCGTTATGCTTTTGGATTCACTTTGTTTTGCATGAATTTAGCTCTTGGAAATTTCAAATTCTCGTGGATTTAAACTTCATGAGTTTTAAGTTTCAACCCATCAATACACTTTTATTTATTTATTAATTTATTCACTTCTAGCAATATCAATCCATTAGCTTTATGTTTTTACAAATCATCAATGGACAGGATTAAAAATTCAATCGAAACCAGCATCTTATGCTTGTAAATAATTTGCCCGACCTGTTATCATTTACTTAAATTTCTAGGTGACAGATGGTCCCTAAATGAATTGAAATTGTTTTTAAAACCAATATCAGTTCATTATCTTAATTTCTTAGACATCAATAATGGGCTAGATTAAAAATTCGATCATACACAACATCTTAATTGCCTGTAAATAATTTGCCAAACCCGTTATAAGATCTACTTGAAGTTCTAGTGACGTGGTCCCCCACTAAGGGTTTGAAGAGATTTTCTAAAGTCAATTTTTCTAGAATCATTTTCGACCATACATTCTGTGAACCCATAAATTTTTCATACTTTTTAACCATATATTCTCCAAAAAATCATTTTTCTCTTGGAAAAATCTATTCCAAACAAACGCTAAATTGGAAGCTATTTTATTCTTAATATAAATTTTTGTTTTATGCTGCCATTTATTATTTCATTTCTTTAAAAAGACCTGTCATCCTGTGTTGCTGCCGGATAACATTTCCATTTTTTGTGAATTGGAGCTTGAGTCCCTAGTACAGTTGGTCACTTAATATCTTAATAGGATGTAAAATGGTTCTGCAGCCATTCATCGGAGTACCCTCAATTACTTAGAAGTTATCTTATAAATTTGTGATAGCGCACACACACACATATATATCGGATTTTCTTCTTCGCTCTCACTAAGAAATGCTTGCTTTCCTTTATTGTTCATCCTAAATTATAGATCAGTTTCCTTAGAGTATAATTAATATACTTTTGTTTAATGTGTCTTGATATGAACAAACATGAACTACCATTGTTTAGTATAGAGTTTTATTAGGAAAAATGTAGGTTAAATAGTTATATTCGCACCAAAATTTTTATTGTTAACACCATATTTTAATTACACTTCAGGTTTTTAACCTTTATTCATTATAGCATTTATGTTCAATGGCGCATGAAGACATTTTGATTTAGGGGTCACAACCAAACCCTGTACAAATAGAATACTTTGTTATTGATTTTTGAATTATTTATACTTGATCTGAGAAAATGCATATTTAGTTTTAAAAATTTCCTTCATTAATATTTTGCTCATTATTTTCATCAATTTAATTTCGAACGATCCTTTTATTAATATTTTGCTTATTACAAGAAAATGCATATTTATGTTTAAAGAATTTATAGTGTATTCGATACAAATAATTAATTCAATTAATCGAAAGAAAAAACATATAACCAATATTCAATACCAATAATCAATCAAATAAACACAATTTGTTAAATATAAGTCTATTGAACAAAATCCTTTCAAACCCATTCTATATACATAATTTGATAGGAGAAAAATGTAAATTTAGGTTCTAATTAGTTTAAAATTTAATTGGAAAGTAAAAATTTGTAGTAGATTTGATAAATTATAAACAAATTTAAAAAAATTAGAAGGGTTAGATTTTGGTAAAAGGTGTGAGGGAGAGAGTCGCGAGAGAGCAAGAGAAAAAATTCAAATCTATTATGATTTGGCCTCTATTTGGTAGAGATTAAAATCAGATTTCCAATAGATTTTTGATAAAAGTTGAAAAGTTTTGGGCTCCATAAAATCTATTATTAAAATTAATTATTAACTTTGATTTAAATTAAAATTTAGATATTAATCCATACCAAGCAAGACTTTATCAAAAAAATCCCAAAAGTTGGGAGGTCACGTGACCCTAGGACCCCCTTTCTATTCGCCCTTGTTTATGCTATAACGATTTTTCATGACATTTTTATCCTCAAACTTTTTATTAGTTTATACATTTTATATCCAAAAAGTCCGTTGAAAACTTATTTTTCCATCATATTTTAAAAAAATTAAATAAATAAAAGTAAGAAAATATATTTTTTCCTCATTTCAAAACATGGAAACAAAACATTTTGACATAAATCATCATCAAGGATGAGATATACTAGTTAATGAAATGTTGAAGATAAGAATTTGACCAAAAAATTAAGGAAATAATTGTTATAATGAGCAAAGATTGATAAGTTTAACTGCAATTAAAATGTGATGTAACAATAAAAATTGTGACGTCAATATAATTACCTTTAAATTTATACTTCCGGCATATATTAATTAAGGCTCCGTTTGATTCTCATTTATGCATTTTTCTCTCTTCTTTTCAACCACACATTTTTCATTAAAATAATATTGCACGTAAATAAAAAACTTTTCATTCACACATTCTCCATTAATCTACTATTCTAAAATTTATTTTTCCTTAAAAATGGGTGTCAAACACCCTCTAAGTTTTCTTAATCTGTGCTCCATCAAGAGTTCACCTAAAAAACTATGTACACAGAATTTTTAGCTTTGAATGATGGTGATATATTCTGGGAACTTAATGTTGACAATGTTGTTTGGTTATACTAAAGACCAATGTTATAAGAGCTGCATCGGAGTACATGGTTCAACTTGAAAAGCGGGTACAGGTCCAAAGTCCAGTTTGTTTACATGCAAAAAACCTAAAATGTAAAATCCATCAAAAGAATCTTAGAACTGGTCATCACCCATGACTGGGTGAACCAATACTGCTTTTACCGGTTCATTTTCTAATTCAAAAGAAATTATTTATTTTTTAATTTCGACCCTTGGTTTAATCCTTTGACCTCAACCTTTACCTTTTCTTTGTCAATGCTGAGTCGGTTACGACTACTATAGTTTGATCAGTTCCTTTGTGATTCAGATGTTCTATATATTTATACGTAGATGGATGGTTATATAAGCATGTACCATGTGAATGATTATCGTGTGCAATGACTAGGGAGTGACAAGAATCAATAAGTAACCATTGTTTCCTGAATTCGTAGGCTTCCATACTGTACCTTTCAATTTATTGGAGCGTTGATGATGTCTGGGATGAATGTTAATGTGTATAGGTAAAAATGTCAGCATAGCAGATAGTTTAGCAGATCGTTACAGTTGGAATTGGTCAGTGATGATGAGGTTCCTTTGAAAGTGCTCATATCGTAAAATACTAAATATGTCCTTTTTCCTCCTCTTCCTGTTCCTGCGCAGATGGGGGTTGATATATTATGCTTTTCCGTAACATTAGGTGATGTATAATTGGAAAGAGAGAGAGGTAAAGAAGAGTCTGTAAGAAACAATAGAAGAGACCGAAGGGCAGAAGAAGAATTAGAGGACTGGGTGAGGAACTTGGGGAGAAATTTCAATTCAATGATTATCAAACAATCAATTATCTACAATAAATATACTAGTCTGTTTATACTTAAATCTCTAATAGAAGTAGAAAATAACCAGACTAAAAAATGTAAAATTTCCTATCTTAAACAGTTGAACTCAGCCTATGTTTGGCTCTTGTTTATAAAATCTCAAGCTACTTTTTTCCACATATTTCAGTGGACTACAATTAATATCAACTTATCTACCACTCATTTATATCTATTCATTATTTAAACCGTTTATAAACACTTCCCAAACATGAACTATGGGAGGAATCACTCAAAATAAATAACAATCCCCTAAAATAAGTGCATAATTTTGGTAACTTGAATAGAATTTCCATTAGAATCTCCATCATTAGGTCTTTTGTACTATTTGGAATGTATCAACTACTATATGTGTGATGTAAGCTATCAGGCATCTTTGGGTTACATCTAATTGTGTTGATTTTGACTCTCATATTTTTATTGCAAGCATGTAATGACAGTGTAGCATGCATATTGGTGGACTAAATTTTGTAAAGATTCTTTTCTCTCTCTTCATCCCTTTTTGATTAAAGGGGTGAGACAACTGGTTAAAATAATGCATGTCTTCCCAAAAGAGTATCTGTGAATACTCTATTGCTCTGGACCAAAGGATATACTGTTCTACTAAGGAGGATCATTTAGAGTGTATAGAAAAAAATATTTTCCGTTATCCTGTTACACAGTGGTTAACAGTGTGCACAACTTTTTATAGAATCTGGAAACCACCACCTAATTACCAGCTCTGATTTGTTGTGCACTTTTAAGAAGATTTTAAAGTTGAAAAATTTGTATGCTGGATAAGTGAGAAGTTTTGTGTACAAGTATCTAGGTTTAACAATACTTGTATTTGAGAATTGCATGCACGCGATATGGGAATACTAGATGAAGGATGTTATGTTAGATTTTGCAATTAATGATTTTCAAGTGAGGAAGAGTGTTAAAATTACCCGTTTAGTTGGTTCAATTAATTTTCTTTAATGTTTCTACGCTGAAAACATGTTAGATTTTGCATCATGATATAGTCTCTGATTATCTGAGAGGTTATTGGTTTTCCTCAGGTCCGTGGTTTAGGATGTCCAATATTTCATACCCTGAGATTTCCGACTGCAACCAAGCTATAATGAGACTATCTGGTAATCATTATATTGCATGATGTGTCTATCAAGTCATGCTGTATTCATTTTGTTACGCTGACTAGAACATGATCGAAAGCTTAAAAATGTTACCCTAATACAGAAACAGGGTACATATGTTCCTTCATGTTGAGGGATGAACTAGAAGATGATGACTTAGAGGGAGTCTTGAATTTACTTAACATTGATGAGCTGCGGGAAGCTTTGCGTATGCTTAACAAGGTTTCTTTTGTATTTCATCCTTAGGAAATGTAGTTTTATTTATGTGCAGTTGTAATTTTTAACATATAGATGAGTACTATGAAATGTTGATGATGTGGATGATTCTTCACTTCACTGACCGAAGACATTAGTTTTACCTGAATGGATTCTTCTATTACTATTCTTATGAGAAAGCTTTACTCGCTCATTTCGATTGCACTTGGAAATGATTCAGTCACTGAAGATAATTTCATAATCGTTTCACCAACCTTGAAATTACGTGCATCTCATAAAATTCAATGTATGGTTTTTCTGCTTTACATTTTTTGCTCCTTTCCCAATTGTGAAACCATTTTTAATGTGGGACTATACTTGAAGAATATAAATTAACTTGTTTATGTTGGTTGTGTTGATCTTTTCTTTCTCTTCTTTTCCAAGCCTTCAAGTCATTGCGACTTTTTTTAGGCATAATTAGTATATTAGTCATTGTTTCACCTACTGATTTGCATGCAATGGAGCATTATGGATGGTTCATTCTAGATTTGGTTAGTTCCATAGTTTTTGCTCCTAAATTGATGTTGGCTTCTGATGACTACACAGAAAAAGCCTACTGTGTGGACAGATACGGGCCATATATATTGTACTATTTCCAATTCTTATGTTGATTTTAGACAAAAAATATTTCAATCAAGCTTTTCATTTAAACCCATTTCAGCCTGAATTTGACAACCATAATATGAACATCTCTGTTCAGTTTAATTCAATCTCGTTCACTGGTTTTATTTTATCTTCTGTTTCTTTATTGTGATGTATAACTAAATAGTGTTAGACCAGGTTAAAACTGTTTATAATTGGTTAAACAACTTTTTATCCACATATTTTGTGAAACTCACAAGTACTACTCATTTATCCACCTCTCATCATTATTTATTTTTAAGAACTGTTTATAAACACTTCCTCGACAAGCTTTTAACCTCGTGGTGATTATTCTTTTCTTCTCATGGCATCCAATTCATTCAGTATTATTTTAATATTGATTGTAACCTTTCAAATGGAGTCCTCTCATCATAATCAATACTCAGAGGACTGCCCAGTTTTAGCTTTCACTTTTGCTTTTCGAGTTATAGCTTTTCACTCCCCTTTAACTACTAAAATTTTGAAAGAATGAAACTTTATTGCCAGTGGTTGATACAGGGGTCCATCCGAGAAATTGGTGTCTGGCATGACTTCCATAGCTTTAAATTTTTGCTGTGCAGTGTCTAGAGGCAATGACATGGATAGGTGGTGCTTTTACAGAAATTGAATGTCATGAGGAATTAATTGCATTTTATTATTATTATTATTATTATTATTATTATTATTATTATTATTATTATTATTATTATTTTATATTATTTGATATGAATTCTATGTTTGGTTGTTATTGATATGTCATTATTGAAACTTTAGAAATGCAAGCATGGTACGCGAAAACAAGACATCATCGATTTGCTTCTATCTTCATGCAAGGATGGTTCACGGTAAGGTAAAATTTCTGATAGGTGCTAAATATACTGGATAATGTAAGTCTATCTCTCATTTGTTTTGATCTTTTATAATCATGCAGCTCGAGGGTTGTAAGTTTTGTTCTATCAAAAACTGGATCCTGTGTTCGAATATCTACATTAGCCGAATCACTAATTTGGCGCGCTGAGGTATTTGTTAACCGTAGGCTTAAGTAGTTGCGCACACACAGTTGTGCTTTATATGTTTCTAGGTGTATTTTTACTTACACAGATGTGGTTATGCAGTTGAGTCTTCTAGTATTGAGCCCAATTATTTCAAACTGAAAATGCTCCAAAGGCTTCACTGAAATGAGGAGGAAGGATTGATATTGAGAAGAGAAATCAAATATTTACTTGTACACACCATAATGATTCGCAATCTACTGCTCCATGAAATTGCTGTGAGATAGAACCCAAAAACAAATTTTATTAACTCAAATAGGCACAAAAAAAAAAGCCTAAATAACTGAAATCTCACCTTTGTTTCCATCTATTATGTAAAGATTGAGGTTGTATTTATCAAGTCCAAGTGTTAATATAAGAGGAAAAACAATGATGAGATGAAAACAATTGCAAAGGTAAGAATGATGAAATCAATACTGGTGTAGCTAATGGAGTGAAGTCGATGCTGAATTCTATGGATCTTAGAACACCTAGACTGTTTAAATGTATTTTGACTAATTTTTGTTATTTACCACCTGTCGCTGCATAGGGTAAACGACAATACTTTAATGTTAATGTGGTGTTGGGGAATTGGACACAATGGCAACATACTACATCAATACTAAGTGAGCAGGAAACTAGTGTGTACACCCCCACAAGCATTTAATTGTGTTGGGTACATTGTCATTTAACTTCTATGACATGCAGAGGCTTTTCTTTCTTAATGGAGAGCAGGATCTATCGTCGTTTTTACTTGTGGACTTGGGCATCGTGAAATATCCTTCTTACAATTGTATATTATCAGAACAAACTTTTCCAACTAGGAGTGACTTGCTTTCATATGAAGAGGTATGCTTATTTTATATGTGAACACCTTGTAAACATTTTTCTCCTTTGACAAAGGTGAAGTTAATGGTTGCAGGCTATCGAGATTGCGCAGATTATGGATGAATCGCTTGATGACAACAATACTGAGTTGGTTTTAAAATGCATTGATATTTCTGATTCACGTCTGTCCATTTCTGTGGAGGAATCTAGATCATTGGCCTGTGGATCATCGGTGACATTTTTATCATGCTTTTCTGTCTCATGGGTCTATTCTAAAGTGGTCTTACTAGGTGTTTCCTTTCTTGAGCGTGAGAAGAGGTGAGGGTGCTAAAAGCATTCATTGTTTACCTGAGGTAGTTATTCCCTAAATTACAATTAATGAGTAATAACTTTTGAAGTACCAATGGCTTTTCACTGTTCATCTCTTTGGGTTTGAACTGTGGAAATTTAGTGCATAAATAGCCAGTAGAAAACTCACAATCAGAAGTGGTTTTAATGAAACAAATAAAAAAGGCTCACGTAAAGTGTAGTAGGTATTGAATGGTATTTACCAACATTTTAGAGAAAGTACCATACTACATTCTTGGTTAACGTGAAGGGTGTGGAATTACAAAATAATTACAATTTTAATTTTTGAGCATGAGAACTACTGAAAAATTTCACCAGTCTCATAATTTGCGGACATCTTTACTACCAGTGCATCTTTACATCACTCTGTTAGTTCACATGAAGTATACATTTGAAGCAGGACTGGCAGTTTACTGTCTAAATCGTGCATCTGCAATATTTTAATGCAATGAATTTTGTTTGAAGACAAAATAAGGCCTGTCAGTGTGTCATCTGGAGCTACACTCTTATCACCTTTTGCTTTTAGATACAACCCTTGCTCCTCTCAACGGGTACATGAACACCGAACATGTCAAAAAAGATAAAAGACAAGGAGAAAGAAAGAGGATTAATGGATAGAACTGTTGTTACTGGGCTCTTTGGCTACAGCTTCTTGTATCAACCACATTTTACTTGAGATCAAGTTAAGCAGTACTGGATGATGTCCCATGAAGCCTTTCCTGTTGGTTAAGCCATCTTTCTGCCCCTTTGTCCTGTGGAATTTTGTTTCTTATGCATGATCTATACATGTGAAGAGGGACGCAGTTGAACAATAACCAAAATTATGGACAGAGAGAGGGGGGGAATATTTGTTTGTATTCAATAATCCCAGTGCATTGAAAACAAACTGTTTAACTCTCTTTATACGGGGTTTAATCAAACCTATTTTAAGTAAGTTACAATAAAAGAACCTAATTAATCACTAATTACAAGTAGGAAAAAAATAACTCTAAACTTAGTAAATCTTCAATATAGTATCTTGAAGGATCTTAATTCACATGGTTATGAATACCGTTCTGCTGGAACACCCAAAAGGAAGTTGGGCTTGTTGGTAGTGTTCATATATTTGCCATTATGATTGCTCTTTGTATCCAGGACCTGTAGGTCTCCTAATTATGCAAAACCTGTACATGTACTATCCCCTACTCATGGACATGTTGGTCATGTGCAATATTTTTATGTGGCGTAAGAGAAAAGATAAACGAATTGATTCTGCTATGGAAAATCTAAAAATGCAATGCTAGCAGATGGGTTTTTCCATGTGACTAGTGCATGCTGCTCATCAAATTTTAATTACCACGCTTTTCTTTTATAGGTACAGTGATGCCATCAATCTTCTCAAACGACTGCTACATAATTTCCTTTCTGATGGAAGAAGGGGATATTGGACTCTGAGACTTTCTGTTGATTTGGAACATCTGGGATGTCCTGATGAGAGCCTTCGAGTTGCGGAAGATGGCTTACACGATCCATGGGTTCGTGCGGGATCAAGAGTAGCCTTGCAGAGGCGGGTACTGCGGTTGGGGAGACCACCAAGGCGCTGGAAAATACCCAATTATTCAAAGTCTGTTAACAGGAAAATTCCTGAGGTAAATGCTATTATATATTTCAAGTGTTTAGTTCCTATCTTTTTAGTTATATTTGTTTTGGAGTTAATACAATCTTCTGTAATTTTATCTGAAGAATGTGACTATATTTGTGATGGTAATATAGGTTCATGCTCAAGGGAGACCGCTGAATTCTAAACTGGGGGCAAAAAGCATATTTTATGGTGAAGATGGAGAACAGTGCAGTGTAGAACAGCTTGCTTTGCAGTATTATGCAGGAGAAGGAGGTGATTGGCAGGGTGTACATACAGAGAGTGGCATTTGGTTAACAATATTTGGAATCTTGATGTGGGATATTATATTTGCTGATGTTCCAAATGTCTTCTGCACCAAATTTCAGGTATATTTATGTGAACTGTTTTAGTTAGCCCTGTCACTGGAACCTAAAAAGTTAAAGAGGAACTAACTTTGTAGGGGACGTCAATTGTTAGTTTATTTTTCTCTCTGTTACTTTCAAGTATTAATAGTCTATTGTTTCCCTACCCATTGCTGAGCTCATTCTGACTTGTGAAGATCATAGCTAGTTGAGCGAACATCATTTTTTTGGAACTACATGATATTAATTTTAGACATCTTTATTTTGAACATTAGCTTTATGAATTCGATTTCTCGATTTGCTGGTCTTGCAGAATAATATTCAGGTCAGTTAGTATTTGTAGTTAACAACTAAAAGATAAGAGGTCGTTTTTGTCATGAATAGGTCTTACGAGATCTCCCTTTTCAGAGTGAGCAAAAATTTCTTGTTTCAAATAGCATTATGTAGTAATTCTGCAGTTGGTTATTCTTTGAGGTAAGAGTTACGTAGGTAGCATTCAAGAGTTTGAGTTATTTTTGAAGGCAACAGTCATTTGAACCTCATGTTAATGTGTAATCCACTCAAAAGGGCCACGGGTACAAAAAATTGGAAGAAAGTCCAATATAAATCAAGCATACAATTTAGACATGTACTCATGTGCAATAATTGTAACTGAAGATTGATTGTGGGAGCATGGAAGGTTGAGTTGTATCAATCTAGCTTCAAATAAGAGAAGAACTATCAGGAGCAAATAAAGAGCATGGATTCATGAGGCTGGGGTGCTTAATATTGTATAATGGGGAAACTTCAAGAATATAGTGTAACAATAGGGTTGAAGTTAAACACCACCCGTGAATAGATGTAAGGAGACGTAACCAACCTAACGAGTGAATGATCTAGTTGCGTTTTGTCTTTCAATAGATGTAGTGATGAACTGCATGGATCGAAAAGGATTTATTTCTGATCTCAAATTTAGTGGGAGTAAAAATTAGTTTATTATTGTTATTGTGCATAATAATTATAATAAGTTCAAGATAATTAAACATAATATTTTTCTGACGTCTTTATTGCAATATCACCATTTTGCTTCTCAAAGTTTGTTCCTCACCCTCACCCCATCATGGGAATCACATACTGGAACAGCCTGTCGAGGAGTTAGTTGGGATAAGCACAGTTTATCTGAGCTTCGAGCAGCTGTTACATGCATTGGCGGTTCTTGTCTTGCATCACTCTGCAGGCACTTGGCTCAAGATTACCGAAGCTGGTCTAGTGGAATGCCTGACTTGTTGCTTTGGCGTTTCCATGATAACTACAGAGGTGAGGCAAAGCTTGTTGAAGTGAAAGGCCCCAAAGATAGACTTACAGAACAGCAGCGTGCATGGTTACTAGTACTAATGGACTGTGGCTTCAATGTTGAGGTCTGCAAAGTTACTCCTCCAATTTAAACACGAGACGTTAAATTTGATATACAGTTCTTTTTGGGCGCCAGATCAATTGGCACATGAATTATTTATTGGCAAGCCATGCTGCCGTCCTCTTCTGAGGGAGAAAGTGAATCAGGGGTTTTGGAGATGTATTCTCACCTCTACTTTATTTATTTATTTTGAATAACTCTAGTGTCTTATCGGTAGGATCTCATTACGGTGGGAAGTGGTCGTATTTTCAATGGACAGCTGTTGACATGGCCGTAAAATTTTGGTTACATGCCCCCAGGAATATTAAGGTTAAGATAAACTCTTTCCATTGTTTCTTTTAGTTCTGATGAAACCTTTTAGCAGCAAGGGGAGTCGTCTTTTTAGCATTTAGCTTTGCTTAATTGTTTCCCATAATTGTTTGTACCCAAATAAACTAATTCGTTTCTCATTCCTTTAGAAAGAGTTGTAAAATAGCAAGAGAATTGGTTAGGTTTCATTATATACTTGGTGGCCTTGTATGGTGTCAAGACTGGATTATCTATTTAGATACGATTGAATGACTCTTTGAAAATGTATATATAATCCTGTTCTGCTCTAATTTCCGTATTAGTCTGGAAAGTTGAATTACTGAACTACTGGTTTTGAAAACCATTTCAGTTTTCATACATAATTCCACATTGCTATGTTTATTTTAATTTTTTTGCTTTACTTCTTTAATGTATGTATAAAGTTGATTACATAATTAAACGTAAGATATTTTTGCAATTTGATGAGACGAGTTGTGCTGCTGAGTTGAGCTAAAAAATTAGAGCTGGCTTACAAGGTGGTTGTGGGCTTACTACGTGAGCAGGGACGGACTTAGACTTTTAGTGTTGTGGGATCAAAACTTTAAAAATAATTTTTTAAAAAACAACATACTATTAATGAAAATAAGTTAATACGTATTTTGAAAATATCATATAATTACATCATTATCAATATTATTAAATAAATTTTACTATTTGTATAGTTTTGTTTATCATTTCATTGACAAAGCTGAGCTAAGAGTGATTAAATTAAATTGAATATAAACAATAAATGAATTGAAATAAAATTCAAGTTTAATTTAGGAAGTAAATGAAATTTAAATTTAAAACAAATGTAATTTGAAAGTAATTCAAAGTACATTTGATCTGTAACGACCTTAAAATTTTTTACATCATATTTTATGTGAGAGTTTCGAATGAAATGATATAAATTATATTGAAAAACTTATTGTCAAAAAATAATAAACGTTAATTAAATAATTGAATTTTTTAAAAGAAAAGACGAGTTAGACGTCTTTTTTTAGACGTACGTTTGATATATATTTAACTATTTTCGATATCGTTTGGACTATTCAATATGATAACGATATAGTTTTCGAAACGAGCTTCTACATGACATAAACGATTTGCGGTTTCGGATAGCACATGATCGCAGACGAATTTGATATTATCGAAATTTTCAAAATACTAGTTTCAAACAACATACTTTGACACGTCATAACTTTTGTTATAGTTCACTACTTCGCAAGTCATTAATGAGTGAAAAATTAGGCCATAAGCGCTTCAAAATGGTATTAAGAATGCAATATTTTGATTTCATTTGACATTTCGTAACGAGTGCATCAAAGTAGATTGTTATATTAAAAAAAAAAGGGCAAAATTTTGTGAGTTCATTTGACCTCACACGACCCCATGTGAGTTCGCCCCTGCGCGTGAGCAAATTATTGCCAAGCCTTTTTAGACCCTTCTATCTTGTTAAATGTGTTGATTTTTTAGTTTATGGTAGAGATGTTAATGGGTCGAGTCAAGCCGCATAGTTTGTTGATACTTGAGCCATGTTTGCCCTACCATACGAGTGGGGTGTTTTTTTTTTTTTTTGGCTCGTTGGCTCACTTTATTTATTTATAAAATTGAAATGAAAACTTTTAGTTCCTAATGAAATCTAAAATTTATTAATCGCTTGATTGCAATGACCAATTATCTTTTATGCATGGTTAAATTGAACATGAATTATTATTTTGTGTCCAACTTTAGTGGACAACAATGGATAAATGCAATAATATTGTGAAAATGAAATAAATAAAATCTATTTACCTCCTATATTGCAGCTGTAGTACATACAAACTTGCAGGAGGATTCAAAGTTCATGTTATTCAAGCTAATGGTTATACAAGCATGTGTTTTTATTTGACATCAAATATTATCAGTCACGTGATAAATCTCAATTCGAAATATGATTTTCCATCAAAGTGCTTATATCTTGAAGTATTACATAAATTTGCGAGTGATTTGAACAAGTTGCGGGCAAATATTGGATCAGGAGAGACAAATTGTTTGTACATTCTACATTAAAGTAGTTTACCCCGATCAATGTTTTCCAAATATACGATTTTATACATTTGGAACGTGAAAAAATTTAAACGTCGTACTTCAAACCATAGTACCAATTACATAAATCTTATTCTATGACGTGTGGAGGAGCTGCAAGAGTGAAATTCAATATTTTTTTGAATGGACTCCTCACAATGTTTTGCTCCACGTAACTTGAGATAGGAATTGGATATTGCAACTAGAATAGTAATTAAACTATGAAAAACCTTTTTTAATTTGTTTTTCATCATATGCCAGACTTGTAATATGGGAGCATTTTCGTTCCTGTATTATATGAAGTCTAAAAAAAATATTTAATAAAGAGGGTAACATAAAATATAAATTGGGATAACGGGTTTCACGTTGCATGAAAATAATGTCACTCACACTCGATGAAAAAATGTGATGATCTTTTTCATATAATGTTGTTGCCATTAAAAGCTACATCCAACGAAAAGAATTGACCCCGTCAATATTTTTGGGAACATTAGGAAAATTATGTCGACACTCACTTTTTACATCTCCATATTTCAGATTTTGCCATACCAAGTTTACTGATTGACCATGCAATAATTGACCATTCAATGGGGTACATTCTATTGTATTTCAAAAAGCGTTGGACGGGAAAGCGTGTATGTGTGTGTGTTTTTTTAAACTGTCTAATCATGTATTGCCACATAGTACAATGTCAAAAATGACGTAAACAGTGATATACATATAACATGATTGATTTTATTCATAGGTGAAATTAGAAATCAGCTCATCAACATTCATCTCAACTAAACCTCCATAGCTTACTTGAAAAATTACAAGCAAGAACAGAAAACTAATACAAGGTACTACGTTGCAAGTGAACTATAATTTATATCACTTAGAAATAACGGAGATGCGAGTGACATGGATTTTGTTTGAGGTACATTTTGTAAATTTTTTATATTTACATCTTTGGTTATTTTCTGCCATTTTGCATTTTCATCCAAGTTGAGAAATTTTTATTAGTCATGACATGCAAAATGTAATTTCAAGATATACGATATCTGGAGTAAAAACAGCCATGAAATACGATATAATTAGCAAATACTGTAATGTATGGAAATAATTATTGCAATAGTACTGGTGATATAGAATCATTAGCGAATACAAGAAAAGTGAATATAAAACTATTCACTTAACCATGTGGATCAGATATAAATGAAATTAACATAACAACTAGCATTTGTGTTTTCAATTGTTTGATTGAATAGCTTGTGTAAAGTACATAATTTTAAATCTACTGCATACCTGGCTCACCACAAGCCAATAGCTGGAGTTCCTGTTTCTGACGGAAATTGTAGCTCATTATTGCTAGGAACTGCATGTAATGAAAGAGTGGATAGCATAGCAGTAGAAAAACTGAGTGGAAACTTCATGCCAATCCTGCTAGGAGAATTGGCAGGCGGCATTACAAGGAAACATGTGGCGTGCATACATTAGATCTTGGACAAAAAATAGTTTTATCCCAGTCAATGCACAGGTGCCACCTGTCTCACTGGTATTTTTCCAGGTAAAATCCCCGTAAAAGGGGCTTAACTCAATTTCATGCACAAGGCACTGACATAGCGCCCAATGCCTCTTGTACCTGCTCAAGACAACCCACAAGAAGTCCAAATACCTCGGTGTCAGAAAAACTCTCAGCCTGTTTAATTGTGTTTTTCAGATGCATTTCTGCAGCGAACAATTCTCGACGACTAGAGTTGCGCAAAGAAAGTTCTTGATACACCTTGCAGAGTTCCAAGGAAGCATATGCAAACTTCACAAACCGGTCCCGATCCTTCCACAAATCAGATCCCTGGTACGATCTAACCTGCTTAAGAAGGGCCTCAGAACACATTGCAAGATCCCCCCTCAGTTTGTGCCACCTTGCGTATAATCCCCACGCTTCAGCACCACCACCTTGAACAATCTGTTTTAAGATTTCCCCAAGTAATTGAATCACGTGCTCGGTTTCCCGCGTTCTCATTGAGTCTGCTTCCACGCTTGTTGATTCATTAACACAATTCCCATTAGCGTGAAGATTATCAAGGTCAGCATGATTGCTATTGCTGACGGTCACAGGAGACTGAGAAACACTAGTTGAAGCTCGCCTTTCAACCTCCATCATAATTCTCTCTAATAACTCCGTATCAATTCTTTTCTTCTTAGTAATATCTAGCACCCTTTTTACAGCTTCTAGTGCAAGGGTAAAATTTCCAATATCTGCAGCAACATTGCTGTAATTTTCCCACATTTGCCAACTGTCTCGCTTCAATTTCAATGCTTCCTTAAATGCAATGGAAGACTCCTTACTTTTTTTTTTAATCATATGCAAACATGCAATATTATTCCAAGCCTCTCCATTCTCAGGATCAAGTTGGACAGCACGTGTGAAAGCATCCAATGCCTTGTCAACTTCCCTCGACTTTAAGGAAGCAGCACCAAGTGCAAACCAGCCATCTGGATACAAGGAGTTTAAAGCCATTGCAGACTCCCATAAAACTCTTGATTTTTCATAGTCATTTCTGTTGTATGCACTGCGAGCAAGAGACCGCAGCGCTCGGGAAGACTTACTTCCTGAGACCTCTAAGGCTTTCTCATAGCAAGCATCATCATTAGTAACATCACCAAGTGAGCACCATAACCTTGAGTCAAATGGCTTCTCGGCCAATCGTTTTTTGATGAGTTCGATTGCAGCCGCTTTCTTGTCCAATAACTGGTAACAATATATAAGATTATCCCATAGCTCAAGATCCTCGTAGACTTTAACAGCTTCCCCTATCAAGCCACAACTCACTAAAAGATCGCCAAATTCCCTGAATAAGAGTTCAATAGATAAATTACTTGAAGAGGAAACAAAGTATTACCTAACATACAAAACAGTGCAGCAGCATACACAACAATGAATAACAAAGTATAGTGCTTGTTTGGTACAGATTTTAAGCCAACTAAAATTAATTTTTTTATTGTTATTTCACTATTCTAACTGTCATTTGTAAATTTCTCTCATAGGTAGGATCCACTTTATCTTAACGGTCAAAAAATCAATTATAAAAATCCCTACCAAAAAAGCACATATATTTGAGCTATAACACGATGGCATAATTGGAAGCAATTGCAACAAAAAAGCAAGCCTACTTCCGTGATGAAGGAATTGTAGGGATATTAACGCCAAAACAGCAATATACTCTTTGAGCAACTCCAGGAGAAGGATCATCAATGCCTTGGACCTGAGATGGCACAATAACTGTTTTAAGTCGCACAAGATTGATGAAATGAATTCATTCAGGACAACATATAAAACACACAAGATCAATGAAATGAATTTATTCATGACAACGTACAAAACCAGTATAACAAATAAAATCTCGATCAAATTCTTGTTGGCTAACAACATGTCAACCCTCAGCACAGAAATTGTGCAGATGATGCATCTGAAGTTGAATGTGGAAGCAATTCTTAAACAGCTAATAGATAAAAAAGAACATTTTGTCAGTATCGTTCAAATAGGTGGAGCACTAATGCACAAAAAGCTAATCTACAATAACAAGGCAATTTAATAAATAGTAATGTATTTCTAAATTTCAAAATGATCTCATAAATAGAAAGTTGTAACTCACAACGCAAAGAAACGAAAACAAACCTTGGCCAGATGGCAAGCTACATTTATTTTTATTTGATTTTAATATAGAATATTTGGAAGGGTTACAATTCTCTCTCTTTTTTTTTTAATGACTATGAGTGTCTGTGTCAGCTTATGCGCACCTCGACTAATCCCACGGAGCCCTGAAATTTACAGTCGAATACTTACCTCAGTGACCCTAAAGGAAAGAAGGGTTACAATTCTATTCCTAATTTTTAGCAGAATTCTTTCCAGTTAATAATGACTGAAAATAATCCCTCATTAGCAATATGATAATGCAATGTTATTACAAATATTCTTATGCAGTGGCAACCTATTAGGCTATCTCTGACAGGTATTGGATCTAATCCTTGACAAATTTGAACTTCAGTCTCCAATAAATTTAAGATCACTATCTTCAGTGGCGAAACCTTCAACCAATTTTACAAAATTAAAAAGATATTTCCATTTTCAAGAGTGAAAGGAGTATGTTTGCCTTCTAGCTTCTTGCTTATAAAGAGGTTCTTAACCCAAATTCCACGAATTCCGAAATCAATATCAAATGGCTGGGACCAGAGGTATCACATGTTTTTAAAATTGTTTTCTTTATTTTTTTACGGTTAAATGAGATTTGATCCCATCAAATCCTATAAAACATTGCTGGAAAATGCGTAATCCAGATTGTTAACAGTGCTTGCTAGCCATCAAAGCATTTAATCAAATTTACTTCAACTTCAGGTTATCTTCGTCATTGATCACTTGTTTCTTCATTGTGACACTGCTCGTTTGCTGTGGAACGATGTTCTGCCGTCTCAACACATAAATGGGTGTTTCCGCGACGTATGGAATACGTGTTGAAGGCATGAAGGAGAAAATTGCGTAATAATGATAGTAGCTTGTATGGGACCACATGGAGGAGAAAGTTGCGCAATAAGGATAGCAAGCTTGTATGAGACTTTATTCCGGATTGCATAGTATGGTCATGTGGAGAGAAAGAAATAACCGCTGCTTTGATGATCAAACACGAACAACGGAACAGATTAGAGAATTGTTTTATTCGCCGTTGTATACTTGGTTTAATGCTACAACTCCGAGGCATATAGATGAGTTGCCCAATTTCATGTTGTTTCTTTCAGATTTAAATTGATAATACACTTCCTGTGTATTACCCATTGATTAATAAAATACTTAATTACTTTTTTTAAAAAAAAAAAAGGTTATCTTCATCATAGTATTTCACACACATTTAATAAGATACAAAAGAAAAACTTTTTTATAACAAAAGAACTTCTCGAGCCAGAGCATCTACCTGTAAGTAGCGTTTCTTTTTCTCTCTCACCTCTTAACTTTATGTTCATGACACTGAAATTTCTGTCCTGATCTTTCAATCATCTTTCCTACAATTTTCCAGTCACAACAATTACGTCTCTTGCAGATTTAAACATAAGGCACTACTAGTGAAAACGTCACCAGCAAAACTACTTGCCTACTACTTTTTCACCTAGGAATATTAATAGCACTATAGCAGTACCACTGCAGCAGTTGACTTCTAAACAGTAGATCAGAGCACCCTATAAGGTTTACTATGCTGCTCCGGAATAAACAGAACCAGGTAAATCTGACCAGGTTACAATAAACAAGGAGAATAGTATTTTGAAGTAGATAATTAGTACTACCAGCATCTCAAATGCTTAGGCAAATAACATATATTGATGGTAGAATGAAATTTTCATGTCTTGGAGCTAAAGAACGAAGGATTTACATATTTTGTTAATGTGACGAGAAAACACACACGACAAAGGCTAAAAAGGGAAAAAGATAATAGTGCTACAAAAGCTTCATACCAGCTTTTCCATCTTTAACAGTGCACGCTGCTTTGTTCTACTACGAGTTGACTCCCATCGAATGCGTAATAGGTTGCAGAAATATCGAAGCTGAAAATGAATTTTTTTTTTTTAATAATATTTTAAAAACCAATTAAAAAATTAAGCACTGAGCTCTAAAAATGATAGCATGCTACAAAATAAAATAAAAAAATGATGTCTAAGAAGGAAATAATGGAGATGCTAAACAAGCATCATTGCTTTTTTACAGGACCAAGGCCAATAACACACATATGGTGATGATTAAAAAGCTAAATTTACTTACAGCATATGGTGATGATTGCTGAGAATCAATTGCTTCTATGTATGGAGCCATCTCCCACTCTGTAATGATGTCAGGAGCATAAATAAGGACCTCAATTCAGCTAAACACACATAATTAAATAGCTATGCAAAAAGGTGTACTACAGTATTTATATGTGCATATAGATCACAACCAGTTGTATACGTTAAATAGTTTTGCAAATTTTAGCAGTTTGCTCCTAGCTTACCTGAGACACTAAGGTGCGTAAATGTACACCAAAAGGGGCTTCTGATGTACAAAACTCCAGGTACTTTTGCCTTTTCAAGCTTATTAGCAATCAAAAATTCTTTCAAGAAGTCATTTGGTTTTCTGGCAGCTAATATGCATAAAAATGGTTCTCTTAACATGTCATTAGATTTATGGTCCTCGCTCCATTGTATCATCAAGAATCTAATTAGCAACCAACATCAAGAATCAACCTACCCCAATAATATGGTTGATTTCGCACCTTCCCAAACCCAACACATAATACTGTCAACAAATTTCATACACAATCGTTGAAGGGTAGGCAAAGGAAAATCTCAGTCAAGAAGCATTTTAGGAATGAGGATCAAAAAATTTAGTGCTTTCTCACAAAACCAATTTCGATTAGTCACCTCAAAGGTCTCACGAAACCATACTTCAATTAGGAGCTAGAAGAATGGGCATGGAAATGTATAGAAAACAATGTCCAACAAGATAGCATATACTGTCAAACAATATCTAATATTTTATGAAGTGTCATCAAAATTCGTTTTCCTAATCAAATTATATATAAACTTAACCCAAGAGTTAAACGTTGTTGAAATGATAGCTTATTAATAAGAAATTAAGTGCAGCAGTAATGCCCTTGGTAATAACAGGGTAAACAGCAAGTTTCGGTCACACAGGATATTGATTTTTAGAAGCAAGAGCACCTAGGAAAACCCACAAGGTCATTAAAAGGCCGTGATGGAGAAAACAGTTTCATCTATGTTGCTCGGACTCTCCATTTTTGGCCAAGTATCCGTGTCGACACGACACGACACGGATACGGATACGGGATACGGGTCGGATACTCGGCTTTGAACTCGGACACGGCTGGAAATGGAGGAATGAAAATGGCAGCAGCATTTAACCTGTAATTGCAGACAGGTAGACAGGGAAGATGAGGGTTGGAGCTTTGGCCGAGACAAAATTTCTAGCGCATTAATTGCTATTTGATGAGTTAGTCTCTTTCCCCATAAATTGCACCAGATTTGAAGATTCTTCCTATAATGGGTCAACTCTTGGAATTGCAAAGGACATTTGGAATTGCAAAAGACGTTTTATCTGCCTTCTTGGAATTTTTGCACCAGAAAACTCCACATTTTTCATCTTCCTCTACAGAAAATTATTTTCTTCAATTGAAAATTCAATCAAAAATTTCCAGAATATTGCTTACTCCTAATTTTCAAGTATGAATCCATCTAACTCTACACTCGAAACACCTCAACGACCCTCAAATCTTCGTGCAAATCAATTCGATGATAAGCCACTATGGAACCATGTGAAGGTACTGACCGTAGCAGTGAGCGGAGGCGGAAATCGGACTTGGAGTTGCAACTATTGCAATAAAAAAGTGACTGGATCTTACACTAAAGTGAAGGCTCATTTGCTAAAACTTCCAAATCAAGGAGTCCAGTGTTGTAAAGTCATAACAGATGACATTCATCAATCAATCAAAAGGGAACACGAGCAAGTTGAGAGGAAAAAATTACAAGATGAGATTAACGAAAGGAAAAGGGCTGAATATGTCTCACTGCCCAGTGATTCTGATTTACTGCAGCAGAAAATGAAGAAGAAAAGAGGACAGCTTGGACCTTTAGAAAAGACTTTCAACATGGCGCAAAGGGACACTGCTGATAAAGAGGCTGCCAGAATGTTTTATGCCAGTGCGTTATCCTTCAATTTTGCAAAATCTCCTTACTTCAGACAGTTTTGTAGAACTTTGGCCAATAGTAATGTGGCTGGTTATACCCCTCCTACTTATAACCGGCTGCGTACAACATTGCTTGCACAGGAGAAGGAGAATATCAACAGAAAACTTCAGCCTATTAGAGATTCATGGAGGAAAAAGGGAGTGTCTATTGTTTCTGATGGCTGGTCGGATAAACAAAGGAGACCTCTTATAAATGTGATGGGAGCATCTGCAGGGGGAGCCATGTTTATTAAAGCAATTGATGCAAGTGGCAATATAAAAGATGGAGAATACGTGGCAGCAATGTTTATGGATGCAATCAAGCAAATTGGAAGCTCAAATGTTGTTCAAATCATCACTGACAATGCTGCCAACTATAAATCTGCTGGACTAAGCATTGAAACAAAGTATCCTCATATCTTTTGGACTCCTTGTGTGGTACATAGTCTGAATTTGGCTTTGAAAAGTATATGTGATCCATCTGAAAAATCACCACAGTATGCATATTGTAAGTGGATTGCTGATTTGGTGAGTGATGTGGAAAACATTCGTAATTTTATTGTTAATCATGGAATGGCATTAGCTATATACAATAAATATTCTAAGTTGTGTTTGTTGAGGGTGGCTACTACAAGATTTGCATCTGCTATTGTAATGAGTAAACGATTAAGAGAAGTTAGGCCAGCGCTTGAGAAAATGGTGATGGATTCAGATTGGAGAATTTATAGGGACGGGAATAATGAAGGCAAATCACAAGAAGTGAAAACGTGTGTAGTCAATGACGTTTGGTGGGATAATTTGGATTATTTTTTATCTTTCACTGAGCCTATTTATAATATGTTACGAGTTGCTGATACTGATTCTCCAATTTTTCATTTAATATATGATATGTGGGATACAATGATTGAAAATGTGAAAAAGATTGTATTTGAGCACGAGGGGCTAGATATAGTTTCTAGGCATTCAGATTTTTTTGATGCTATTCATCAAGTTTTGGAGAGTAGATGGAATAAGAGTAACACTCCTTTGCATTGTATGGCACACTCTTTGGTTCCTAAGTATTATAATGAATCTTGGCTTCAAGATGGAAGTAACGGAATTCAAAGAATTGCACCACATGAAGATGAAGAAGTTTCAATGAATAGAAGCAAATGCTTCAAAAGGTTGTTTGAAAATCCGGCTGATTTGAGGAAAGCATATGCTGAATTTGGGTCCTTTTCTACTGGATCGGAGTATTTCAATCAACCCCATGTGATTGATGCAAGAATGTATGAAGAGCCAATCTCTTGGTGGGCCAATCATGGTTCTTCGATACCTTTGTTGCAATCTCTAGCATTTAAATTGCTCTCGCAACTGGCATCCTCTTCTTGTTGTGAGCGAAATTGGAGCACGTATTCACTCATCCAGAGTATCAAGAGAAACAAACTAGCATTGAGTAGGGTGGAAGACTTGGTATTTGTTCATTGTAATCTTCAACTCCTGTCACGAAAAGAAGAAGAGTACAAAGATGGGCCAACAAAATATTGGGATTTGTGTATGTATACAATATTCTTATATTCTTTGTTTTTTTTAGATATCTAATTTTTTTTACATTAATATTTATATATCTATATCTTTTGTAGGCGGGGATCAAATTGAATTGGATGGACAAGGTATCATTGAGATGGCGGAACTATCCTTGATGAGCCAGAATTGGAGGCAATGACGTTTGATGAAGAAGAGGAGTAGAGCTTGATTGGGAATGCTAGTTTAGTTTGATTTCAAGTGGAAAACTTATTTTGAAGTTGTAACATTTTGGATGTTTAACTTTATTTTGAATTATGTTTTGTTTGAATTTGGATTTTTATCATTATATGAAACATTTGTATTGTGGTAATTTGCCTTTTTGCTTTAATATTGTTGTTGTGTACTTTAATTGAACAATTTTTAAAAAAATTGTAGGACGTATCCTCGTACCCATATCCACAATTCGGATCCTTTTTAACCGTATCCCCATATCTTAATTTTAAAAATGATAATAATCCGATCCCTAAATATGTACCCGTATCCGACACCCGCACCCGAGTCCGAGCAACATAGTTTGTAAAGTAGAGAGGTAAAAGTCAACAAAGATTAAAATTCAATACAAGTTGCCTACATCATGAAAACATTTTACTCTTGAGACAACTAAATTTTGTTGTACTGGTTCTTTGGGTACTTATTTCTTAGTAAATATCATCCTCCCAATTTCACTACATCCTAACAACAGTTTCTGTAGGCAACCAAGGAAAAGTCAAACTTTCTAGCTCATTGAGAACCTTACCATAGTTTTCCTATCAGATAAGAAACTCAAAGCTGAAACATCTTCAATAAAAGATTAGGCAGCTTACTTTGCAATTCATCACTGCGAGCACTTTTCTCAATAGCAAGAGAATGTGCCAGAATCACTGCTTGGTGGACTGCCTTCAGTTGGGAGGCAGCAATGGCATGGGTCTCAACTTCTTTCTCATGACTTTCAGAATTTCTTTCATCTGCCACAAATCTAGGCGTCATTAATACATCAGATTCTTCACAAGTTTCATGAGACTGCTGAAGCAATGAATCATCAACATTGTTCAACTTGTGCATTGGTGACGTGCTGCTATCTCCACTATTTGTTCCTGCAACAAGACGAAGCTGTGCCTTGGGCTCCACCTGTTTCCAGGACTCATAAGCTGAGCCATGAAACAATCATCCCCATCAAATTCCAAATAAAACTGTAAATTTTGTACCTGATGCAGAGTGCGAAAACCCAGAGCCCCACTGACAAAAAACTGAAGTTTGGATGTCTCGGCAGCTGATTCAAAATGAAGTCTGCATATAAGATTGTCACCATTGAACATAGTCATTTTGTAGCTTGATAACAACCATCCAAAGAACAAATAGCATGATGAAAATGAATAGTGAGATAACAAAATCACTTATATGGAATTATGAGTAAAATATTCTTCACCATCTGAAAGGCAATGAAAGTCGAGAAAAGTGAGGAAGGAATGAACCAATAAACAAGATTTTGCATTTCACTCTTATTCTGAATCAAAGATTTATGGAAAAACATAAATCTGTGTTTGCCTCTCTTGAAGAAATTTGGCCCGCAATAGTCCACAGGAAGTAGCTTTTTTCCATGCAGAATGCTACCTCCATAGCAATTTAAACCTGCACAAACACTAATTTGAGAAAGTAGAAGGCATCTATTATTTTTCCCACCAAAAAGACTCTTTCACCGGTGTAAGTGAAAAGGAACCCAACTACAAAACTTCTCGTTTAAAATGCCTTGTTTCCACCTCAATTTTCTAATTTACACTTGCTAAAAATGGTCTTCTTCACCATTACTCACCTCCACACCCACTCCTTATCCATCCCTTTTCCTCCCTCCCCCCTGCTCCAATCCTTTCCCTGCCCTGTCCATTTTTCCTTTTACTCAGAAGCTCTCAAATAAAGGGAAGAAAGGGATCCGGACCAAGAAAAAGTGAAGGTGAAGAGCTGGAAGAGAAAGGGATAAAATTTACACAGGGAGAGATTTGCCAGTGCTCTGCATGATTGTCTAAAAGTTTCTTGCAAAAATGTCTTTTTCCAGGACCCCCCACACTTGCCATTTCAAACACAACTTTCTCCTCACCTGAATGCGTGGCGTAAAGCAAAAGTGTTTGGCAATTAAATCATAAGTTAGGATTGCTGAAGTAGCTAGCCGAAGCTATGAAACGGGGTTTGTTCTCAAGTCTTCACTTGGGGTATCTAGTGTCTTCAGTAAAAATTGATCTATTACAGTTCAACTTGAGTAAGCAGGCTTGGGTAAAAACACGGGTAGGAGGGGGTGGAGATGTAGGGTGGGGAGGAAGGAGCATGAATGGTGAGGAAAAAGCAAGGCAAGGGTACATGGGGATTTTGACAACAAAGAGACCTTTTTTACAAAGTTTTGGAAAAGAAGGCCTTTTCATTCTCTCTCCAACTTGATCCCTCTTAGACAATTTCCTAAAAACAGAAGCAATTCTAATAAAGATGAAAGCGTTTGTTGGTTTGTAAAATAGAATCCAAATGCCTTTCTCCCCCTCTATTGCTGGTAAGAAAGGAGACAGTCGTAAATCTCGGTCTAACTTTGTTACCTTAGCCTGGAAAACAGCCTATTTTCCTAGGCCTCCTTCTCTCAGCTAGGGTATTAATGCATTAGGTTAAGCCTCAATATATAGAGCACTTCTTTGTGGTGGGTGTTGAATAGACTCGGATAGTGCCAAATCATCAATTATTTCCATAATCCTTCTGATGGGTGCTTTGGGGAACCGAAATATTAATCCTTACAATAAAACAAAATACTCCTTCATTTGGTGTTTTCAAGCAGTATTGTTAACTACTCTTGGATGTTTCCATTGGAGAGTTAAATCTGGGTGAATGGGACTCAAACTTCACATAATTTTTTCATATACAGATAAAATACATGATAGAATTTAATACAATCATCCTATGATTACACATAGCGAAGATGAAGTCGTTGCATTGCATTATTATGAATCCGTTGTATATTTTATTGTCTTTCAGCAAGAAAATTGGATAATGCATGCTTTACATGATATTGATGACCACAATGTTAGTTTTTCCATACAAGATAGTTGAGCAGTTAATCATACTTCTTTATCTGTCAATCTAAATTTATCAGATAAAGACTAAACATTTAACGCTAGGCACTTCATGAGCCCCACCTTAGGTCTACTCTCAGTTCTATTCAATCATATCATGTGTTGGGTCGATTTCCCTTCCTTTTCCATATTACACCTGATTTATTACTTCAAAACTCAGTAAATAAAAAAGGAACTATAATTGATCTTGTAAACCAACTTTCTTCCATCATTTTAATCAGTCCCAGCAATATATAATGCCACACAGAATTTATCAAATGATACTAGAATTCGACCTTGCGCTGTCCCATAAACATATGTTTAATTCTCCACAATAAGACACTTAGCCCCCATTTGGTGCACATTATTTGGGAAAATAATACATTTTTTCCATCATATCAGCCTACAATATTTGACTTCAACACTCCAAGGTAGGACCTATGACGTGATGTTTAAAATGCATTTTTGTTGGAAACATGTGGAACAAACGGACTTTTAATCTGGAAGCCAAAATTCATTATGAGAAATTCAGCGGTTCTTTCCCCAGTTACATCCAGCTACTCCAATTCCACCCTTTCTCACCAATCTATCACCTTTCTCTAGATCAAATTCTAAACAATCCTATGATTCAATTTTTATGAAGTACTTGCACATCTCTTGTTTAGCTGCTCTTTACATTTTGGCATCTCCAGAAAGAAAGATACATAAAGCTCCTTGCCCTGACTTTTAGTCCTCCCACAGAAGATATTACACACTACCATCACTATGACAAAAGGATAAGAGATTCAGCCTCCGTTTGGCAAATTTATAAAGAGAAATAATAATGGATCCCATGAAACAAGTGGATAATAAATGAGTAGTAGTTATGAATGTGTGGTTGAAATTAATGTTTGACTTTGACTGAATTTATAAATCATTATAATTTGGTTGCCAAATGGGTTGTCAATGTCTCAGCACCTTTGTTTGTTTGAATCAAGATCTTCATTTATAGTGCTTCTATCACAGTTAAGCATTACTTCCTAGAGCCTAGAAATATACATTTGCAGCGAAAAGATTTAAAATTAGAATCTGGATCGAGTTCAATATAAGAGAGGAAGTTCTTCTAGAAACATTTATAATATAACCCAGTCATAGTGCATGATTTGTTTAACTACAACGTTGATGTCATTTTTGCAAATGCATACCATACTCGTTAAGAGTAAACATATAATGAGGACTCACCTGGAAGCATCTACCCGCCCATAGTAAAGTTCCATAATCCCCATCTCCAAATGAAGCATTGATAGAATATTCAAAGCATCTTCATCCAACATATTAGGGCCCCAATAATCTTTTGTCTCCACCAAGGATCCAAAATTGCACAAACATTCACGCATAAAGACTTGCAACAGATCAAACAGAAATGAAGAACGCCCATCCAGCAATTTCTGTTGTGAGAACAGAAGTCGAGCCACCCACCATGAAAGGCTTCTTACTCCACCTATGGAAGTTATACTTCCCTCAGACAACAAATCTTTTGTTCTCGTCAGCAGCGTCTTTGCAAATATTATGTACTGCAAGTGAAAGAAATTTTGCATTAACAATCAATACCATATAGAACTGATAACATGTCACAGAAGAGAATGGCCACATGTTTCATGTGAACACATCAGTTATCAAGAGTTTCTAAATTTTCTATTTAGATAATACGTAATTGTTGATGTTATGACTAGAAGTGCTGCTTGTAGCACCATTTGGTTAATATAATAAACAAAGTTCAAAGAGTTAAGAGCAAAATGAAGTAACCAATCAAGGTCAAGCAACTAACTTCTATCCACAGAATGCAACCCACATTAGAGAATGGTATCAAATATCTATAATAGAGGAGAGTAGAATAGATGGCTATTTCCATATTAATATCTCACAAAGAAAGAGGATTAGTATATTTTATTATAATAGTAAGACAAGCATCAAATTATGCCACATGAGACATCAGAACTAGCTACTCATTTTTATTTATTATTTTTTTTTTTTTGGGGGGGGGGGGGGGGGGAAAAAAAAAAAAAAAAAAC